TGAAGCATTGAAGCCTGGTGACGACCTGAAGCCTTGAAGACCTGAAGTCTGGTGACGACCTGAAGCCTTGAAGACCTGAAGCCTTGTGACGACCTGATGCCTCTTCGTGTCTTCGTGTCTTCGCGTGTCTTCGTGTCTTCGCGCAAAAGTCACAACCCGCTTCTGCCAACGCAATGGATTCATACACTTCACTTTAACCAATCTGTTTTGGACTACCATTGGTGCCCACAAGGCTACATCCTTCGGACTAGAGGAACGAATGCGCTCAAAGAATCCCAATGTGAGCAGCCAAATGACATCCTTTCTTCAGAGTCTTCCCGAGGAGCAGCAGGAGGTTCAGCACTCTGCTCTGCCATCAACTGAGATGGCGAAGACGGGGAGCCCCACACTGCTGGCACCGAGTGATCTGGCTTCCTCAATCGGCTTAGGCGCAGTGGAACTTGTCCCAGCAAGACCAAAAAAGAAAAATGAAGAAAGCATCCACAAATTCTAAACCTGTTCATGAGGGCTTCTCCAGGGCCGTGCGGAACTGCGGAACTCGTACTTAGACTTCGTTTAGCTCAAAACATGACTAGTTCTTTAACCAGCTACGGCTACGACGGCTCGGCCAAAGCTTGCACCGCTTGCTCAATTTCAACCATTTTTGGAAACCGAGTCAAGTTCTTAGCAGTGGCAGCAGGATTTTGACATGAAGGTTCTTCTTCCCCCACCCCCACTGCTCATCCAACATTGTCCCACGTGGTGGGTGCTTGTTTGACATCTTTGACTAAGGTGCATCTTTGAGTCAAGCTGACAGATGAGGACAAAACGACGCAAATCCTCTCTGCACATTTGATCTGCAGCCAAATGACGTCCTTTCTTCGGAGTCTTCCCGAGGAGCAGCAGGAGGTTCAGCACTCTGCTCTGCCATCAACTGAGATGGCGAAGACGGGGAGCCCCACACTGCTGGCACCGAGTGGTCTGGCTTCCTCAATCATGATGAGGGCAAAGGGCGAATTTGTTTGTTTCCCTTGGGTGGAACTCGTATTTAGACATCATTTAGTTTCAGCTCTACAAAAATCGAAACCCGTTGTGATTTGTCTTGAGTACTGAGTACTAGATTGTTTTGGGCTGCATGAGGCAAACAACCCCAGACTGAACACTGCCCTACCACCAATCGTCGGAATCAGCTTTAGTTGCAGTTCTGTTTGTCGAAACTCTATCAACAAAAACAGGTTGTCCCAATCACAAAGGTAGCATACAATCAATCCCACAAATCTACTAGAAAATGAACGCAAGCAACACATGACCTTTGTGCTGGTGACCTGCCGTTCAACTGCTGGAGGCCACCCTGCCAGACCTTCAACTTTGCTAGCTAGGCTTGTTTTTGTTTATAGTCGTTTAATGTTGCTTATATATAAATACATGTACACGTGTATAATATATATACTGTATATATGGTGGCTCGCCCTCCACAGCAAACACACAATGTGGTCTTACCTTGATCTTCAAATGTGCTGCTAACATATTTCCTGGACTCTGCTTTTCGCCGCTTTGTGTGCCTATGTTCAATCAAAACTGGCAGTCGAAATTGCTTGCCTCTAGCCGCTAGCCATGAACAAATGCCAGGGACCAGCCCTTCCTCTTGACGCCCCAATCCACCTGTTGGCCAAATGACGGTCTTTCTTCGCACACCTCTCGAGGTGCATGAGGAGGTTCAGTGCTTTGCGCTGCCAGAAACTGTGATGCTGAGGATGGGAAACCCCACACTGGCACTTCAGGGTGGCTGACCTTCCTGAGTTGCCGCAGGGGATGGGCTCAAGCGGGTCGCGGGAAGGCGACCTCATTCACAGAGACAAGTCAATCTTATCATTTTACATATTGCCATCATGTTGGGGTGACACAGTTCAGCAAAAATTCAGAATACACACCTAACAGGTACAACCATTAAGACAGCCCCTTCCAGGATGCCATGTTTGTGCAGTAGATTTCCAGGCAAACTTTGACGCAAAGCCAAATGCACGGCAACTATACCAACGTGCATGCTGGACTCTGTTTGTCCTTTTTGGGGGTGTAAATGCACGCCTCTTTGTGCAAACAAGATTGCTCGATAGCACCAACTTGCGTTGCCATGAGCAAAGGAACAAACACTGTCAGTGTTCACGCATGTTCACGCCCATCCCATCCGTATGTCGGTGGCCAAAACACATCCTTGCTCCAGATTCATCTTGAGGTGCACGGGGAGGTTCCAACCTGTCCCCTGCGACAAATCTAGCCGGAGACAGCAGGCCTCGTGCTGGCAGAACAGAGTCGTACCGCTTCCTTAGCGCAGCAAGTGGTTGGATGGAAAGGGGAGATCAAGCGTCAGTGCCCCTCCTCTTTTTGCATAAGGTTCGTCATCCGCTCCAACCAAGACTTGGGAAAAGAACATCAAATAAACACTTGTCACTTGTATAAGTCTTGATCTGCACAGAGTCCTGGAAGTACAGTTTAGGGTGTCAGGGCATTTCAAGGCCGCCCGCAAACATATCTTATATTACTGCCCACTGAAACACGTATATGCTCCCCCCATGATCTCTCTTTTCCTGCCTTTACCATTTCATCCACCATACCTCATGTGCTATGAGGTTGTCTTCACATCAGTCTGCATATATTATATGCAGCTTTCATGAGGTGAAAAGTAGATGAGGTTCATGCAGCTCTGCTGTCTCGACCTGAAGTGTGCACATATGCAAACCCATACAAATTCACACTGAGTCTGATGTATCCATGTAGCTAATTGCAGGTGGCAAGTATCTTCACTTTCGACACGTGGATATGATCCAAAAGTGAAAGAGAGCCGTTTGTAAAGTGCAAAGTCCAATGATACGAGAAACAAACGCGGAAACAAAAGAGCAGCTCTGACATGAAGCCGTAACCGTATCTGAATCTCCTTCTCCGTGTATGCAGCAGCTGTTGTGGAACACGAGGTTTCCTTTTGTTTATCCGCCTTTCCTGTTGCTGGAAATCAACAGTAGAATTTGATATTAAAAAACATCAGTCAAATTCAAACATAAAAAAAGCATTATCATCAGGAGAAATCAACAGGACTCAAAGGGAAATCAACAGGACTCAAAAAGAACGTAACACGGACATCACAAGGAATTTAAACGGATTTCATTAGAAATCAAACGGTTGTTTAGGGGAATCAACAAGAGTCAAAGGGAGTTCAAAAGGAAACCAATAGGAACAAAAAGGGGCTTAAAAGGGAATCAAGAGGAATCAACAGGAAATTAAACGAGCATCAATGAATGGAATTCAAAAGTGTGAGGGAATCGCAATTAACTTGAAGGGATTGCAAACTGTAGGCTCCGGAAAAAGAAACATTACAACAAAAAACGCAATGAAAAACAAAAACAAAAGCCAACCGAGCGGAGGAACATCTTGTGTATTGAACATGTGTATACATGTGTGTTTTCTGGTTTTTGGCGTTCGCTTTACCGGAGCAGTATGTGAAGCTCATTAGACAAACCTGTTGCCTTGCCTCCCAGTGCATCTTCTTTGTGGCGCATACCCCCCCAAAAAGGCACTATATGCCCCTGTGTGCTTTTGGTCCAACATCGTTCAATATAGGAGGTTTCTAGCCTTTTTGTATACGTTTCATTCAAAACCCTTTTTCAAAAACAAAAGGTGTTTAGCAAGTTTTTGAACATTCATTTGTGGTCATTAGCTGATGAGGGCACTCATTTCTGACAGGTGAAAAAAGTAGCTTTTCATGGGCAAGCCCACAGAAAACAGCCGTAGGTAGATCATGCGAGGTGTTTGTGTGTATATATATATATATATACATGTGTGTGTAACATATGGATGCATATATCCTATGGGGATGTATATAAATACATATATGAAGATATATATATATAGTAAATACAATATAGTAATACAATAGAATGAACAAGCTATTCTGTGATGCTCTCCCTCAGAAAACCCACAGGAGGTTTAGTCCATGTATATATAACAAATTTCAATGGCTGCAATGCACCGCACAAGCCTGCCTGTTGGATCTAACTCATCTGGCAAGGCTTCAGTGCCCAATGTAGCTTCCCTTCCCTATCAATCCTATCAGCAACAAATGATTGAGGCACACAATCACTGGCACCCACGGTGGTCCTCCATGCCCCAATGACAAGTTCACAAACTAACATAACTATATAGATCATAGTTTCGATAATACTACTTTTCTGGTTGGGGTGAGAACTTGGCCTTGAGAAATAGAACATCTGCCTTTCCTGCGGCCAAGAGACGATCTTGCTCCAGATTCCTCTTGGGGTGCATGCTGGGGTTCAGAGCGACCTTCTTGGACCAACTTGGCCGAAGAAGGGGAGCCCCGTGCTGGCAGTCCAGAGTCAGACCTCTTCGCGAGCATAGTTGGATGGAAATGGAAAGAGCACGTCAGGCGTCACCCGTCACCAGGATACTGAACAAAGTGAAGTCTCAAAGATAAAGCGACATTACAATGGACAGTCATTTGCTTTCTCTAGCTGATCCTGCCCATGCTGACAATATTGTGTCACTAGGGGCAATGTGATGAATGTGGGATGCACTTCAGGAAAACGATTGGGAAGGTTCAGTCCGCACTTTAAACAAACCATGCATATATGACACAATTCTCTGGATGCACTGCACAACATCGCCTGCCCCTTGGGCCTAAACTATGTGGCAAGGCTTCAGTGCTCAACTTAGACTCCCAGTCCCACCAGCAACAATGGTTGAAGCACATGTGTTACGGCGTGTTGTTTGGGGCAAAAGTGGTGGAAGCAGCTCCCCCTCTGCTGAGCTTGAACTTGATCACGGGCAAAAAGACAGAACAAACATCTCGTTCGCATGTCAGGGACCAAGTGACCTTGCTGCAGGTTCCTCTAGAGGTGCATGAGGAGGTTCAGAGCTGTCTTCTGCGACAAACTTAGCCGAAGACGGGGAGCCCCCTGCTGGCAGTCCAGAGTCAAATCGCTTCCTTGGCAAGCATGGTTGGAGGGATTGAATATCATGCTTGGTGGTTGATCTACATTCCTTCTTGGTGACACGCCGCTTTTTGCGACAAAGACGCATCTATTGAATTGTTTCGCGAACCTTTCGCGAACTCCATGTTTAGCTTTCGCTGGGTTTGGCAGTTTCCACATGACGATCTTTTACAGATCTGTTGCGAAACAAACTCTTTAATCGCGCGAACTCAAAACATATTTTGTCAATGAACCTTGGCGCCTTATGTCGACCTTGCAGAAACTGTACTATAATCAACAACCAGTTGAAACGGAGAGGAATTCTCAAACCTGGAACACAACTGTGGACGATCATTTGCTTCCTCTGGCCCCACATGTGACAACGAAAAGCTCGCCCTCCGTCAATTTTAAAGGAACAAAGGTAACGCGACGATGTGACACGTTGAACAGAAATCGAAGATGCACCTTTTAAGAAAACCCATGGGAAGGTCTACACTTTGTGACAAGCCATGCACTTTGCGTCTGCACTGCGCAGCATCGCCTGCCCATGATGTTGTTTACGGCCAGGCTTCGGTGCCGACGGAAACTTACCGATCGGCAGCAGCAAGAACAACAACAACAATTGGTTGAATCACGTGGTGTCATACAATCACAATTGTGCTGCTGGAAAATATGCCCCTATACAACGCCGGTCATTAACTGACATGATATGCCAACTTACACGTTAGACTCTGCTAGTGTAGTGTGCTACCTTGTGCTACAGCGCGCTGTTTGCGGTGATGTTTTGTCAAAGGTATCTCGGCTGGTGCCGAATTTAAGTTGATCATGTGCAACGCGAACACCAGTCTTCACACCCATCTCGGTCGCATGTCAGGGGCCAAGTGACCTTGCTGCAGGTTCCTCCAAAGGTGCATGGGGAGGTTCCGAGCTGTCTTCTGCGACAAACTTAGCCG